AACTTGGCAAAACAAGGCAACATGAACCAGGTGGAAGATGACAGTGACTGCAGGCTGTTTCTTATAAAGATGGTAATCTTTGGAGTGGTATATCAAAATATAGGAGGCTATAAGGCGTACGTTGGGGTTAACTTTTCTATAGTTTGGAGTATTGATTGCCTTCAAAGTGATGTTTTGACAATATTGCTTTTAATTTCTTTTTTGTTTCAGTAAAGGCATTCAAGCACTAAATTTTACATGCAGTTTCTTTAAATTTGGCCTTTGAGATTTCAAATCTCTGTTTAATATTATGGTTATCTATACATATCGATACATTAGGCATCAGAAAGACTTAGTTGATTATAAAGTGCTTTGGGATGTCCTGTGGCCATGAAAGATGCTACATAAATTCAAGTATTTATTTAATTTTAGCATTGGGCACCAAATGGTCACACCCAGGGCCACACCATGCAGCTCTCTGAGTCATTTTGAGTAGGAATATACTAATTAGAAACTGCAATGTTCTGTCAGTAATAAGAGTACCTCATTGAAAAAGCATTTTGGGTAAAAATAATAAATATTTATTTGATTCCCACCAGATGGAAATATTTAAGTTTACTTAATAATTACCGTTGCTTTTCAAAAATACTTAACTTGTAAATATTTCAAAGGCATTAAGAAGCCGTATATAAATATAACATTTCTTTCTTTCACTTCTTCATGAGAAAGAAGACCTAAAACAATTTTAAAAGAGACCTTTTTCAGAGACTTGGTTTGTTTTAATGATTGTAGGAAGATATTGGTTGGGTTTTGTAGAAGGACAGTTTATACCTTGGCGAAATTCTGGACAAAGACTGAACTGCTATAACAATCACACAAGTCATTCCAAAAACATGCTGTGAGCCATTTGCTTGCTTGACTTAGCTGCTGCGCTCCTACTACAACCTTCTCTCTTCACAAAAATAGGATTTGGAGCGAACATTACTACTGGCCTGGCGGGTAAAAGCCTCCCGCAAATATTTATTGCTCAATGAATGGACAGTGAACATCTGTGAGAAACGCATGGCCGACTACAGCAACAGATTGTGGTTGTAGTACAAAATGATCAGACAATAGACAGTTGTTTTCAAAAAGATAACAGTATCGACCCATTGTCAAGCTCAAAGAGAAAGAAAAATGTGAAACCTCATAATGTGTGGCGAACTGATAAGCCTCACATGTTATACATTATGCAGGAATACACTTCCATCTGAAGAATGTTTTGTTGTAACAGCAAAGTGACAAATGCTCGCATGTCATCATGTACAGTGTTTTAAAATAAGTTAAATGTCTTGTTAGGATATGACCAGTGTTGCATCTGAATTGTTGAAAGATTAACCCTACTTATTTTTTTGTTTCTGTTGTTATAATATTTGGTTTGACTTGGTTGGGAAAGGCGCCATCTAATAATTAGTGAGAGTTTATTGCATGAACCAATGAAATATTTAGTGGAAGCTCAGGCTTTTTTGGTCGAAGAAAATTGCTTTTCTTTTCTCAAAGTTACTGTTGAAGTTATTTATAGTGAAACTAATTTTATTTTGTTGCGTTATGTGAGCAAGATTGTCTCTACTGAGCATCAGTGAGGAAAAAAGCCAATGCTGAATTAATTGTTTTTCTCTAAGTGTGGTATCAGTTGTGAGAGTATAATGAATTGGACAAGAGGTGGAATGTGAATGGTGTTGCACAGTGCCCCTTTACTTGAATGTACATAAAGGTAAAGGTTGGCTTGTTGGCAGTAAGTAGTTGAAAGTATAAAATGGATGGATCTTTGGTGTGAAGTTTGCCAATGAGAATTTCCAACTGAAGTACACAGGTCCTGGTGCCTTGTCTATGGCCAATACCGAGCCATTTACAAATAGATCCCAGTTTTGTACGTATACTATTAAAACTGAATGGAAAGCATGTTGTATTTGGTAACAAGATAAAGGGCTGTGACATAGTGGAGAGGGTGGAGGGATTTAGCAGTGAAAGTGGCAAAACTATCAATGCTGTCAGCGTTGTTAATTGTGGACAGTGTGAATAGAATTGGACAATTTGAATAAAACTTAGTTTCTTGCAATTCCAAGAATAATAAAATGGGTTGACCAGATTCAATTGGGTAGAGTTAAGTGTTCAGGCAGCATGAGAACTGCTGACTCATGTTTTAAGTTACATTTCTGAGGATAGACTGGAGAAGCTGGGATTGTTTTCCAGAAGTAGGGAGGCTAAGGAAGGATTTGATAAAGGTTTTGCAATTATGACAAAACAAATAAAGGAAAATTGTTTCCAGTGGTTGAAGTGTGAATACTGGGCAGCACATAATTAGCATGATTGGCAAAAGAACCAGAGGTGAGCTGAGATAAAATATTTTTATGCAATGAGTAGCTAGGATTTAGAATATATTTGCCTTATAGAATGGTAGATATGGTGGCTCAGTGGCTACTACTCTTGCCTCACAGCACCTGCGACTCCAGGTTCAATTCCAGCCTTGGGCGACTGTCTTTGTGGAGTTTGCACATTGTCCTTGTGTCTGTGTGTGTTTCCTCTGGGTGCTCTGGTTTCCTCCCACAGTCCAAACATGTGCAGATTAGGTGGATTGACCATGCTAAATTGCCCATAGTATCCAGGGATGTGTACGTTAGGTGGATTAGACATGGGGAATGCAGGATTATAGGCTAGGGGGGTGAGTCTGAGTGGAATGCTGTTTGGAGAGTTTGTGTGGACTTGTTAGGCCAAATGGCCTGTTTCCACACCGTAGGAATTCTATGATTTAATGGTAAGCTTTAACACACAGTTAGATTAATACTGGAATGTGGGAAAGAGCAGTCGTGTGTGATAAACTGGCTTTGTCTTCGAAAGAGCTAGAACAGACTGAAAGGGCCAAATGACCTTCATATATGTTTCATCATATGTATGTTTCATTTACATATGATCAATGAGATGTAGCAGATAGGCAATTCAGCTCCTTATCATTGGCACAATATAGGGCAAGTCCTGCATGGTAGGTAAAAACGCAGGACAGCTGAGGCCAGATTATATTTGTCAGGCGTGAGGGACCAAAAATATTTGTGATTTTTGTGAGCTCTTTAGCTCTGCTGCCCATTGAAGAATGCACATCATGCACCCTCAGATCCAGAATGGCAGTTGGCATGCAGTATACATTGCACTATCAGTGGTGTGAGTAAATGGCAATGTAAGTGCAGCACAACTGCTTGCATATAGCTATCATCCTATACAGTCTGAAGTCTAAAAGTGCTCAAGAACTGTGGAGTAGCTTTCAATTTACTTAATGATTAATGAAGGAAGTCTGTGCTATACTTTCTATTTAGATAGGTGGAAAAAATTCTTCGTTGGTTGGGTAACAGTTAAGTAAGACTGGTTTGCTGTGGGTGAAAAGCTGGCAGTAGCAGATTGGCTGCCTGTTACACAACTTAGTGCTTTCTTTTGGATGATATTGTGAGTGTAAAATGAATGAATGATTGAATGGTACAACTTCTCCATCATTAAGAATGACCCCTCTTCACAGCATGTGAATTGATTACTGTGTAGATGGTCGAGCACACACCCGCTGACCACAAACTCGTTATTTTCTCAGTTCTACAAAAGTATTAAGTGACACCTGTTACTGGAGTTAAGCTGTGTACCTTGACTCAACGGTCAGTGGCCTTGAGTGGCTAATCTCACTTCAGAAAATGGAAAATCTGGAAATGAGCAGGAATCCACAATGCTTGGTCAGTGGAAAATAGAACAGAGAAAATGTTTGCATGAACAAGTTGTGTTTCTGACCTCATATTATCTTCATGTGGTTCTGTGTCATACTTTGTTTTAACATACTTCTCTGAGGGACATTCGATCATTGCAGTAAGTGTTAGAAGCACCATAAGAATATAAGTGCTGTTCTGTATTTTGAGGCAAATTATATGTCAAAAGTGGTCAGCCATAAAGCATTTAAAATTAAGGATTTGTGTTTGAGAGTGAGCAGAAAAACAGGAGGCTGCCAACCTTACAAACCGAAGTTATGAATTTTAATCCAGCACTCATCATCTTATCGTTGGACCACGCTGCCAGCAGTCATAGAGTCAAACAACATGGAAACAGACCCTTCGGTCGAACCAATCCATGCTGAACATAATCCCAAACTAAACTAGTTCTACTGCCTGCTCCTGGCCCATATCCGTCTAAACTTTTCCCATTCATGTGCTTATCCAAGTGCCTTTTAAACATTGTAATTGTACCCATATCCACCACTTCCTCAAAGTTCATATCACACACGAACCAGAGTCCTTGACATTGAAATATTGGTAGTGACAGAGTGAATTCATTAGAAGGAGTTAAAATATCAGACAATAGTAGAAAGGATGTTGGTAAACCCGAGAGGGTGTAGAAAAGATTTGCAAGGATGTTGCTGAGACCACGGGGTTTGAGTTATAGGGAGAGGCTAAATAGGCTGGGGCTTTTTTCTCTGGAGCATCGGAAGTTGAGGGGTGACCTTATCGAGGTTTATAAAATCACGAGGGGCATGGATAGAATGAATAGCCAAGGTCTTTTTCCTAGGGTGGGGGAGTCCAAAATGTGGGGGTATAGGTTTAAGGTGAGAGGGAAAAGATATAAAGAGGATCTGAGGGGTAACGTTTTCAAACAGAGGGTGGTTCATGTATGGAACAAGCTGCCAGAGAAAGTGGTGGAGGCCGGTACAATTGCAACATTTAAAAGATATTTGGACAGTTACATGAATAGAAAATGTTTCGAGGGACCTGGACCAAATGCTGGCAAATGGGACTCGGTCAAATTGGGATGTTCGGTCAGTTTGGACAAGTTGGGTCAAAGGGGTCTGTTTCCATGTTGTATGACTCTGTGACTCCAGGACTGAAAATCTTCAGGTTGGTGACTAACATCACTGTTGGCGAAAGAGAAATCTGTCACCCAGACTTTCCTGTCTGGCCTGATAGCTGTGGAAAATCTAAAGAGAATTCTGCAAATAAGGCCAATATTGCAAATACACGTTTTGTTAGGTAGGCTATTGTTATTGCTCAATTCGTTTTAACCAATAAGAAATGTTGAGTCTGTACATCAACAAGTCGATGCCGTTTGGGTTCCAAATGAAATGGGTTTCATAAGTTGCATTTTCTCATTCTGAGTTTTTTTTCTGACCTTTAAGTTACAATATTTGTTTGTCACCGAGGTTTATCATCATATTTATTACTATTTAAAAGCTGTGTTTTCTTTTTCCAATTATGATTATTAGTCAAATAACGAATGATACAATATTTTCAACTTGCTTTTAGAAATGGATTTCTAGAAGAACTTGTTGAAGAAGAGAAAAAAGAAGTAACTCTTAGAACTGTATTGGCCAAGAAAATTCCATGGAAGACGTTTGTTTTTGGTAAGTGAGGGGCAAGCAATACTGCCATTGCTCTCTGCACTAAATCATTGATGGAGTCAAATAAACCTTAGCCAAGGATTACTGTGAATTTTCTCTGTATCAAGCAGGTCTATATAGGATTGAGGTTGACTGCAGTTTTGGGTCGGACTTAGTGGAGTTGAAGGGCTTGCCTGCTATTTGGAACATTGGTAGGGAAACCCCTATCAGTTTCACGGGGGACACCTTGGGAGTAAGTGCCCTGTGGGCATTTGGTTTCAGACCAGACAACAGAAGTCCCACCCACTGAGCATTTCAATGAAGTGGGGGGTGGGGTGCAGTGTATTCACCAGAGGTCCAGGACCAGTGAAGGACCGAAGCTACAGGTAATTGAGGGCAGGATGGGGCTTACACCCAGAATGGAAAACCAGTAAAACTTGCAAAAGACATAAATTGGCCTGATGCATCCTGTATAACTGAAAATGGAGCCCCAGTATGATCAGTACGTTCGTTCCTAAGTATGACTGGTTCGTTCCTCTGGGCAGAGTAAGGACCATGGGGAGAGGTGTAAAGCGGGAAGTTGGATTGGCAAGTACATGGAGGAGACTAATTCAGTATACGCTGCCATTGCAAGATTGGATCCCTCAATCAGGCCAAATAACAAGGCCCCTACTCCCCTCCTTACCTGCACCCTCCCACCCCACAGCCCCCCTTGCTTTGCTGATGGCCTTTCTGAGATGCATGGAAACTGTATAGCTTCCATTTAATCCTTAAACCACCACTACATTTTGATGGGTTCAAGTAGAAGGATGTTAATTGGCTCATTAATGAGCCTAACTGACATCCTGCCAATGGGAATTCTGTGCCAACACCTTTTGCCTTCCAGCTTGACTGGGGGAGGTTTTCCTATCACTGGGAGCCGACTGTATCATCTGTCCAGTGGGCCTGGCCACCATGGTTCCTTCTGTAACAGTCTATGTTGAATCCACCCCCTTTTCTTTCCATTGTGACATGAGATGTACTGCGTGCATGCCACAATCAAAGAGGTCAACATTTTGCTCGGATAGCAGCCTGTCCTCTTCCACCCTTCAGAAAACAATATGATTAAATGTTACCCTGTTAGACTGAACAATGCAGAGTGATACAAGCAACACGAGTTCAATTGCTGCACTGGCTGAAGTTACCATGAAGGATTCTCCTTCTCAACCTCTCGTCTCATCTGAGGCATGGTGACCCTCCGGTTAAATCACCACCAATCGCCTCTCTCTCCCCCTCTCTCTTTTCCTTTCTTTTTTTTCTCTCTCTCTTACTCTGTCACTCCCTCCCCCCCCTCTCTTTCTCTCTCTCTTTCTCTCTCTCTTTCTCTCTCTCTTTCTCTCTAACCTATGGTCTGTTGTGACTTACCTTTATGCAGCTCACATTATTGAACCCAGTGGCAATCCAGTGAGACAGTCCATTTTTCTATCTTTCTAGTCTTCAGGTTATGGAAAGATGCTCTCCATTAAGGCAAAAGACATTCAAGGAATTACTGATAACACAGTGTGGAGCTGGAGGAATACAGCAGGCCAGGCAGCATCAGAGGAACAGGAAAGCTGACATTTCGGGTCGGGACCCTTCATAAGCCTGGCCTGCTGTGTTCCTCCAGCTCCACCCTTTGTTATCTCTGACTCCAGGATCTGCAGTTCTTGCTATTTCAAGGAATTATTGTTGCTTTTTGTAGAAAATACACCATTTTGTCCCTTATGGTCGATGGGAGTCAATTTTTTTTTGTTTTGCTTTCTGATGAGAAGCTTTAGCCACGGGTTGTAGGTTTTGAATGTATCAGAATTGACAGTACAGAATTTACTGTGCTCTGGCTTCCCCTTGGTGCTGTAACGTGCTGCATTCGTGTCCAGCTCCATTTCGCTTGTGTCGTCGGAATTCCTCCAATTTGTGCTTTCATGGGATGTCAGTGTTGCCGGGTAGGTCAGCATTTGATGTGGTATAATGGCTCGATGGTTAGCACTGTAGTGCCTCATGGCACCAGGGACCTAGGTTTGCTTCTAGCCTTGGGTAACTGTCTGTGTGGAGTTTGCACATTCTCCCCGTGTCTGCATGGGTTTCCACTGGGTGCTCTGGTTTCCTCCCACAGTCCAAAGATGCGCAAGTTAGGTGGATTGGCCATGCTGAATTGCTCATAGTGTCCAAGGATGTGCACGCTAGGTGGATTAACCCCGGGAAATGCAGGGATAGGATAGGGGTGTGAGTCTGGGTGGAATGCTCTTCGGAGGGTCGGTGTGGACTTGATGGGCTGAATAGCCAGCTTCCACACTGTTGGGTTCTATGATTCTATGATACATCAACAGCGCAGGAAACAATTGCAAGCTGCAAGTATGCAGAAAAATAAATTTGCAGTTGCCTCTGCCTGCTGACATAGGAACTCGTAGCCTGGTATGGTGGCAAATTATTTGCTTACGTTATCTCAATAACCAATTCTTAACCATATATTAAATAACCTGTTCCTGCAAGTACTTATACATTATGTAAATATTTATAGATTTCCTATAGCACTAAAACAAATCTAAACGTCTTAGGAGTCTTTGGGATTTTTTTGAAGGGCAAAATTAAAAGTGAATGTTGTCCATCCTTATAGTGCCTAGGTGGACATTCCTTTCTGAAATATCCACTTGCAGAGATTAACTTTGACTGAAACAGGTGCAGAGCCTTCCAAACAGTCTCAACAGGGCTCATGTCATCCTCTGCAGGAATTTAAAGAGGCATTTGTTTAGGGCAGGATACCCAAGGAATTCCAAACCTCCCCCACATCATAAATTTTAGCATTATTCAAGAGTAATTTATGCCAAAGTTCCAACTTAGTGATAAAGATTCAGTTTTTTTGTTAAAATCAGACTTATGACCATGACAGAAATTCAGTCCCTTAATAGTTCATGGTATAGTGAATCTACTAATTTGTAACAAGTGGAAACAGAGAGGAAAAGCTACTAGTCACACTCAGTATTGAAATATTTCTCTGGTGTACTTTTTAATATGTCAATAAATGAGTGTATTCTCAGAATGTAGTTATATAGCACAATGGAGTTGATGGGAAGAGATGTCAGGCAAGGTACAAACAAAGAGATAAGTTTGTCACCTTTGAGGCATGTGATACAAAGGGGAATCTGCAGGATATTTCCATTTCTTGGAACATTTTTAATGGATTTTTTAACTTTGGGTTAGAGGGCTTGAATGTATTTAAGAATTAATTTGTCTCAGCTCCATTACAAAAAGAATTGTCCACGGTATTTTGCGGCTTTACCATCTGGCTTGTGCTCAAGCCTCTTGAAGGAAACGCCAGAAAAAACTTGGAAATGACTGATGACAGTTTGAACTGGACTCCCATTTTAAGGTGTTTACTAGTTTTGGAGCAGTACCAGTCATTTCCAAATTTGGCTGGCTTTTCTTTCTGGTGTGGTCGAGTCAAGGACTGATAATCCACTCAGTCGCATTCTCAGTTGAATGTTAGTGCATTGGAAGGTTAAAAATTGACATTTTTAAATGAAGAAGCAAAAGGAAAAGTACCTTTCTTGAGTACATTTTGGTTCGACTAAGTGGGCCTCACTGAACTCTTCTTCTGTGAGATATGGTGAAGTTAGAACGGTGATCCATCTCCATTTATGGTGTATTTGTATTTGCACAGGAAATGATATATGATACACATATCATATCAGTTCTTTTCAATGCTTGCTGTCTTCTCTCTTCAAATGCACTGTGGTCTCCAACAGAGTCATAGAGATGTACCGCACGGAAACAGACCCTTCGGTCCAACTCATCCATGCTGACCAGATATCCTAAATAAATCTAGCCCCACTTGCCAGCATTTTACCCATATCCCTCTAAACCCTTTCTATTCATATACCCATCCAGATGCCTTGTATATGTTATAACTGTACCGGCCTTCGCTACTTCCTCCAGCAGTTTGTTCCATACACGCACTCACCCTCTGTGTGAAAAAGGTGCCCTTTAGGTCCCTTTTAAATTTTTCCCTCTCACCTTAAACCTATGCCCTCTAATTTTGGACTCCCTGACCCCCGGGGAAAAGACCTTGCCTATTTACCCTATCCATGCCCTTCATATTTTAATAAACCTCTATAAGGTCACCCGTCAGCCTCCAGAACGCTGCCCTTGTCTGTTTTTCTTCTGGTGCTCTGACTTGTTGCAATGGAGCTGTTTACGATGGTTTAGTCAGTGTATGCACTGCTAGACACCTGTTCCAATGTCTTGTGTTGTAATGAAAGAAAAATATGCCCTTGAATGAGAGCGAATAATCAATAGACATGCACCAAAATTGAATACGACAGTGTAGTGAATATGTCAACTCACAGAAATTTGAAAACAGGCAGTCTGAAACAAGGTCTGCCCTCCCTGATTTATTGAAGGTTCATTATAATCTGTGATATCGACAAAGTTGAATGGGATCAAGATCAGAAAAAAAATTAACAAATTTCAAAGGCAGGAGAGGCATGTTATAATTGGAAGAAAGACACAAAACCCTACCATATGCTTTTACAGATACATTGCTTCTAAACCCATTTGTAAATTTGTTAGAACAAATGCATTGTAATCTCAGATGTATTCTAAATTATTTATCTGACATTATGCTCCATGCTGTCTGATTTTAGCCTGTAACTGTGTGCACCAGTATGCACTCTTTTTCATCTTTCTTCCCGTTTCCATCCTGTCTCTCTGATAAAATTCCCAATCTGCATCTCTACTAATCTATTGCAACTAGTGGGAATTACTGCAAAGCAATTTGAGTGGAAACTGAAGCAGAATGCTGGCATCTTAAGTCAGGCAACTAATATTGAGAAATAATTAAAGTAATCAAAGCTGGCCTATGTATTATTCTAATCTACAGAATGTACTATTTAATTGGATGTATCTAATATTCCACTCTTGGGCTTACCAAGAGTCAGTTTAGTGTCATTTTCAATTAAAGATTTTCCATTGAGCACGACAAGTCATTTTTATTCCTCCCTAAAATACATGATGGATTGAAAACACCAAAGGATTATTATACCACAAAGGCTTGGAATATCTAAAGGAATCGGAAATTGTTGTCAAAGCACCCTGAGTATGAGAAATGTAGTATATTAAAAAGTGATTAGAAATCAATGTGAATTTAACCCAATCGCCAGTCCAAACTTTGGTATTGTTATGTAAGCATACACTCTAAACAATATTGAGAACAGTCCATAGTCCCACATAAAATTCCTACACTAATAAGGAATGATTTTACAGATGCTCACTCCCAGTGCAGAATCTTGGCTATTGGGAATGAATAACAGACATTTTAGGGTGCTCTGTGCCCGGTTTTCCATTATTAAAATTCATGGTCGGAGAATAATGTGGAGCGAACCCACAATTTCCAGATGCAGTTCTGGCCCATGAGGCTATGCTTGAGGAGTGTATTTTTAGTAGAGGCATGCACTGAGCAAGCTACATATTCAACAGAATCAGAAGTACACATCATGTGCTCTGGTATCCCCGGTTTCAACAATCCTACAAATTGTGAGACTGTTCTTTAGTTTATCTACAACACAGCCTCAAAATATGTTGGTACAAGATCTTTCCTACAACAGGCTGCCTACTGAAGTGAGATTCCATACCTCTGAGTTTATGGATTTTCCTGAGTGATGAATTAGTTGTCCTATATTGGTTATTGGTGTCCTATAAGGGCACTAACAGAAGTTAATGAGCCAGTCATTCTACTGTGATGTACATTAAAGCTGCGTGTTGCTTTAATTGAAGCAATTTAGGACGATAGAAAATGATCTGTCCCTTTCTTCAATCTTTTATCTTTCCATTTACTCCATCACTTTAATCCTTTCACATCCTCCAAGAAAGTAGAATGATGATTAATCATAGGAGATATCCAGACCCTACTTAACTTATTGTTGGTTTACTGCAAACTGCTGTTTGGAAATATGTTGATGCAAACACATAATGTAAAAGGATTTTAAATGTTGTGCTGACTTCCTAAATTTGCAACCACTTCTACTACTAATGAAATAACTAGAGACATGCGTAAAGTAGTTATGTGCCATTGCTGCCACTATAAGATTGTAGAAATAACATTTACTGGTTAGATAGGGATTCAATACAATTGAATCACAAAATCTCCCTTGAAACTAGACTGGCATTATCAATTCCCTTGTCCAAACCGCCAAGCGATTCATGCATTTTAAAAGATGGAAACTTTCCCAGATTTGAAAGATATCCAATCTTGATGCAATAAATAATTTATGGGGGTTGTTAACACTTTAAAAACATTATTGATCGGTCTTTCCTGCTGATTAGAGCTTTTGAACAAAAGGAT